TAGGCATGGCCCGATTGTGCTCGGCAACTTTTGAGCACTTTTTGCGTTCGGAGCAACTTTTTTCAGTTCGAGCAACTTGAAGAAACTTTTTCGTTTTTGAGCAATTTCTGAGCAACTTTTAGGCTTTTTACTAAAATTAAAACTTTACAGCTTGAAATATTGAAATGTTTACAACTTCATTTTCTGCGATATATTTCTGTGCACATTCTGTATCAGTACAGGGTAATACATGATGTGCACAGGCTCAATTAAATATTCAATGTAATATGCTGTATGCCTTGCTTTCCCTTGGTATTTGCTTGCTAGGGGACTAGGGTTGCTGTGTTCTCTCGTCGAACCCCAAACGTCGAACCCCTATAAAGACAACATTTGCGATGTTGTTTTATTGGAAGATTTGTTATTCTAAGTATTCGTGTTGATATTTGTATGACATTTGTATTGCTGTTTGTTCAACTTAAAAAGTTTATTGTTAATTACAAGAAGTTCATCAGAGCGTGAAAAATTGTATAAATCTCTTGATTAACGTAATACGTACGGGCAACTTTTTGAATTTTAGTAGCAACTTTTTTCTATTTCGGGCAACTTTTGAGCAACTTTTATGCTTTTTAGCGAGCAACTTGCAAGTTTTAGCGAGCAACTTTTTTGGATTTTACGAGCACAATCGGGCCATGCCTATATTCGGGCAAAACATTAACATTTCGGAAAAATTATAATATGCCCGGAAATATTTTTGTACGTGTTCGAAAATTTCGGTATATATGGGAAAATATTTTGCTATATCCGGAAAATTTTTTGTATGTTTGCGAAAAATGCGGGATATTAGGGAAAATGTTTTCGTATGTCCGGAAAATATTACTGGACATTTTTTGATATATCCAGGAAAAATTTTTTGGTGATCTCCCCCCCCCCGCTCACCAAAAATTTTGGGGAGAAATACTTGACAATCGGGCTAAGTGTACTGTGCCCCCCCCCCAACAAGATCAGCCCTGTACGCCCATGCTGCTCTTGTTAAAGTTTCAAAGTAAATTTCAATAGAATTCAAAGTAAATTTCAAGTTTCTTTATGCATAAAAATGATAAAATTTACTTATGTCAATCATTTTATATGCACCCGTGGGAATCAACAGAGTGCATGCTAAAGCATTCAAATTCTAACAATTGAATTGTTTATATTGATGATTTCAATACAGGGTGTCTCAAAAAACCGCTACCCTTGGAAATTCACCATTGTTCTAATTTGAATGCCTGAGTGCTAAAGTTTCTGGTTTTGTTCAGCATATGACTGATTGATTTAAACGCAACAAAAATACGTAAGTCAAACAAAACGTTGTTTATTTTTACAATTATTAAGCACCTCGTCCTTCGACGTGGCCCCCATTTCTCTCAACACAAAGTAATGTTCGTCTATGCATATCACGCACGGCTCGGCTAATGAGGGCAGGCTGTTGTCGTAAAGCATCAAACTCTTCGATGATTCTTTGGCGTAACGCATCAATAAAGGTTCAGGCATTCAAATTAGAACAATGGTGAATTTCTAAGGGTAGCGGTTTTTTTGAGACACCCTGTAGTTTTCGTTTTTTTGGGACATACAGTATATCTCACCTTACATGACGTCCATAAAGATTAAGGAAGCACTCACGGACTCACCGGAAAACATTCATATTGAAAACATTCCAAATGTGTCGTCTTGAATTTCGTCTTGTCACTCTATTAATTAAATTGTCAATGATTTCAATTCAAAGCAAACGTCAAGAAGGAAAAGCAGGAATTAATTCTTTGCAGTACTGAGTATGGATCGTCCTGTAAACTCATATTACTCACCCGTCCCAGACGTTAATATTGTGAATGAAGATACAAACCAACAAACACCGTTGCTATATAGTGTCGATTCACAAAGCGTTATCAAAGTATATAAGAAACGTTGGTATATATTGGCGATGTTTTTCTTGCTTTGTGTTGGTCAAGGCATTTTGTATAACACTTGGTCTCCGATACAGAGTACAGCAAGAGCTGTTTATAAATGGGATAGTTTTATGATTGATCTGATGCCTGCATTAGGATGTATTGGACCATGTTTTACTATTGTACCTCTGGGATGGTTGATGGATGTTAAAGGTATGTAGTAGTCTTAGAGGGTCTCAACATGGAAGCAAGCCTTTCCAGGTACCCTTCTGCCTTCGGTGGCTTGCTCGAAGCATAGTACACAAACGCAATACAATCTTTAATCAATGTTATTCGATCAGCTGAGTTCAATTGACAATTGAAACTAAATTTTACTTGCATATGTGGTGTTATTTTTTAGAGTTGACCGATTGTCATTGGACAAGATCAAGCCATTTTGATACTGTCTGACTTTTCCGGTTAATTTATGGCACGTTTGATTATTTTGCTTCGGGAGGGAGGGGGGGGGGGGATCCTATGGTACTTGATATTTTGTAATGAAATTCCTGTTAAATTCCCATCTGATCAAGTCAAATAATGTAGGTTAGTTAGAAATTAAAATATAAAATTAATATCAAATATTTATCAACATATTTTAGCCGATCACATTCAGACCAGCTTTCTACCCGGATCTTTCCTCCACAAGGAGTACCCGTATGAGCCTGAAAACGAGGTTCATGCATGAATGATCAGGGAGCAGTATAAAATTAGTAATTAACAATTGCAGATCCACTCTAATATAGGTGACATTTCGTATTAGTAATAATCTTTATTTGTATAGGTAATCATGCGATGGCGAGTACAATTCGGGATTAATAGTACGAGTGATGTTTGGAAATTTTGCCAAAATTGGACGAGCCGCCGGGGCGAGTCCAATTTGGTAAATTTCCAAACATCATGAGTACTATTAATCCTTAATTGTACGAGCAACATCGCATGATTACTTGTTTATTATTAGCATGACAAAATTGGATACGTACTTCTCAATGTCAACATCATATTCTTTTGCCAAAGCCCAGTCCTGCCAGACTTTCAACCAAAATTTGGTGCTTTTGTTTGTATTTTCATTTAGTTCTTTTGTTAAAGCAAAATTTGGTGCTTTTGTTCGTATTTTCATTTAGTTCCTCCACGGAAATTTCATTTCACGCTTGTGTTTAAAATACGTTTCCCCATTAATGAAATAATTGTACTCCTCTCAACCAATCAGCATCCAGTAATTTTGTCATGCTAATAATAAATTACAAAAGCAAGGAACGTGTTCCTTTTCCAAGGAGCAAGTTGAAAATTCCTTTTCTTATTTTGTTAAAAGTGAGAAATAAAAAATACAACGTTAAGACAAAAATTCAGAAAAATGGCTGAAACAATTTTCAACGAGATCACTGCACATGACATGATAGCCTACATGAAGTACTATTTAATTTATTGCGAAAGTGGAACCACAATTTGTTCCGAGGCTCAGAGCGCCAAATATTGGCAAATAAAGTGTTAAGAGTTTACATGCTTCGATTTGCATGTAAAATTTTTAATATATTGAAATATCATCTTGATAAATTCTAATAGTTTATGCCGTTTTTATTTACAACTACTGTTTAAGATATTATAATATATATAGTAACAATTTGCCGGTAAAGGAAGTTGTATTAATTAATTCCTTTTTTCCGCAGTAATTTTTTCATTGTACTTAATTACATTTTAGAACAAGTAATTGTAATCAGGAATTTATTACATTTTAAAGCAAGTAATTGTAATTGGAATTAATTCCTTTTTCAGTGGTAATCTTGCCGCCCTGGGTTTACAATTATCGCAATGAATACTATCGTAATAAGCGGAAATTACAGAAATTGGTTTTTATTTCGCTGGAAATGGTGGAAACGAACACCGCGGGGAAACATCTCGGCTCATGCCAAATTGTAAACTTTTAAAAACATTGCTATTTAACTATTATTTAAGGTAATTGAAACAAACAAAAAAATACATTAGACGGGTAGTTTAGATATTAATAAAAAGTTTTCTAACATTACAGTAAAAATCTAAAAAGAAACAGAATTTAAATTAAAAATTACCGTTTAAATTAAGACCAGGAGGCGTGTAACATTTCTTGAAGAATTGTCGAATACCTAACTTATGAGCCTACGAAAAATATCTTTGTATGGTTCAGTTAAAGAACGTTTTATACAATAAATTTATCGACAGTCACTTTTGGTTTATGTTCTTGCGTAAACTACTTCTTGTGTAGACTATAATTATTTCTACTTTTTAGGTTGTCACGTTCATTATTCCGCTTGCATTTTCGGGCAAAACATCGAAGTCGCTCCTTGTCGCTTCCATTTTGAGTTATTGACAACCATTTTGAGTTTTTGACAGTTTTTGTTTTGCTCATGTACATATATCTTTTTCTTATTTGTAGCATATGTAGAAGAAGGTCACCTGTGGGTGCACACAAACTGCGAGGCAGCGAGGCAATGGCAAGCCCGCGAGGCATACGAGGCATGCGACTGATGCGAGGAAGGCTGCGAGGCATGTGAGGCAATACCGCGAGTCCTGACGGGCCTTTTTTTCCTACTGCCCTTGGGCCATTGGTTTCCCTAGGTTTGAATGCATTTCCAAATTACCCAGAAATTCGTTTATAAAACGGTCTCGAGTTTGTATGAACGTAGTTTTTCAATTGACAGATGAACAACGCAAAATAGTTTATATTCCATAATTTTTAGTGAAGCTTGTCACTTGTTGAGCTATTGTCTAGGTTAATGTTTACTTTTTGACGTTTTGACTGGAGTGCTGTAGTTAAAAAAACTATAATGTATAGACAGAACTGTTATTAAAATTAGAGTGTCGTTCACATTTGTCCGTTTGTCCAGCGTCAAGTTAAGTATGTTCAATATGTTAAATATCGTCAAATTTTGGACTCAGTCATTGTGTCTGCCTCCCACTGGCAAATCTGCCTGACTCGCACTTTTTTCATGCCTCGCACTTTTTTTCATGCCTCGCACTTCTACCTCGCATGCTTCCCACTTTTTTTCATGCCTCGCATTGTGCCTCGCATCGTGCCTCATATGCCTCACATGCCTCGCTGCCTCGCACTATAGTAAAACTCGTCATTTGTTTGTTAGTTTCGTAACAGGAGAGTCCAGAAAAATGTCTAGCGTAAAGTGTAAACATATACATGTTCCAACTTATGTACTTTTATTGTATTTACCTAGTAATTCTATTAGTTTACATATGCAGAGAAAGCATTAAACAAAAATGAGAAATTATAAGACTTCAAAAGCTTACAGACTGCAGACATATTAAATATACATTCTGTAACAACACGCAAATTAATTGCTATAAATAGCAACGTTACAGTCTATAGTATAATGATATGATGATTTGTTGTGCTTTTGTTCTAAGTAGGCCTATCACTAAAATATATTGAAAATCCTTCTAAACGATTCTTTATAAAGTATATATACAAAGCATATACATTGATATCGAAACACAAAATTCAAAGTTTTGCACAATTTGAGCTTCGTGACTCTGGTATAGACGTATGGGCCCAGAGGAGGTTCGACAAGCAGGCCGCAAAGGATCATGGGTTTGAGCGCCTAATTCCAGGCGTGGCTTCAATGACTCTTTGACTGTCGTGGAGTAAACAACTC